TCCTTAGTTGCGGCTGGTGGGCTCCTTAGTTTTGGCATGCAAACTCTTAGTTGAGGCATGCATGTAGGATCTAGTTCCCTGACCAGGGATCGAACCCACATCCTCTGCATTGGAAGGCAGATTCTTAACCACTGTGCCAGGGGAATTCTTTAGTTTTTTTTTTTTTTTTTTTTTAATTTTTGGCTGCGTTTGGTCTTCGTTGCTGCGTGCGGGCTTTCTCTACTTGTGGCGAATGGGGGCTACTCTTCGTTGCGGTGCACAGGCTTCTCATTGCGGTGGCTTCTCTTGTTGCGGAGCACCAGCTCTAGGTGTGTGGGCTTCGGTAGTTGCAGCACGCAGGTTCAGTAGTTGCGGCATGCGGGCCCCTAGAACGCATGGGCCTCAGTAGTAGTTGTGGCACGTGGGCTCAGTAGTTGTGGCTCATGGGCTCTAGAGTGTAAGCTCAGTAGTTGTGGCACATGGGCTTAGTTGCTCCGCAGAATGTGGGATCTTCCCAGACCAGGGATCGAACCTGTGTTCCCTGCATTGGCAGGCAGTTTCTTAACTACTGCGCCACCAGGGAAGTCCAAGACTTTTTAAAAAATGTTCACTCAGAGTCTTAGATGCATGTCTGCAAATTATATTAGAACTTCATCAAAAACAATTTATTATAGTCTTCTTTATGGAAGACGTCTTTGTTATCGTCATGGATCAAGGAAGTGTAGTTACTAAAGTATCAAATGTCTTTTAAGTGGTTTCATTTTAAAGTATTCTTTACCATGACTCTCCAGAAGAGTGTCTCAGTGGACATGAATTAAAATATGAAAGTACTGGGGAGGAATTCCCGGGTGGTCCAGTGGTTAGGACTCTGTGCTTTCACTGCTGAGAGCCCCAGTTCGATCCCTGATCGGGGAACTAAGATCCCACAAGCCTTGCAGCGCAGCCAAAACAAAAAAAACAAAAAAAAAAACAGTAGAGTACTAAGAAATTTTAGAGTTAATTGGGAGAGTATTCCTAAAATTGCTGAGTAGGGGTGATTTTTAGATTCTCTTCCGTGGATTTGGGGTGGGAGAGGCAGGCAGGTGAGATTTGGAGAGAAAGAGGTTACAATACATAAGCCAAAGTGGGTGGGGCTGGGCGAAGTCTCTCACTCTTCCCCAGTTTATGGAAGATGGGACTTCTAACTATGCTTAGGTCTCAGTTACATGTCCTGATCTGATTTGACGTTAGCAGAAGCCTCTGCCTGCTAGACAAAAGATTTTCTTACTCTTTCCTTCTTGTCTTCCCCAGTATGGGTGGCATCCCGGCCCGGAATAGTAAAGGGGAAAGGCTGCTGCTTTATATTGGGATCATTGACATTCTTCAGTCTTACAGGTGAGGAGCATATAGATCCTAGGGGTCGAGTGGATGTGGATTTACTCACATCGCTCTTTTAGATGGATGTCACCAAATTCTTCCTGAAGCAAGAAGAGTAAGTTGCAGTCTGGCTGCTTGCTTCATTGGGTTTCAGATGGTTTTTTATTTCCTGATTATGCCTGTCTGTTGGCTTCCTTATCCCACAATCTCCCCAAACATAGCATACACCTCTGTGGAAAGCTGAGTCAGTCCTTAGAAGCACCAGGGTAGAAATGCCATCTCTCTGGCTTTTTGTGGAAGACCTGTGAGATGAGTCATACTCCACATTAGGATACAGCTGGAAACACATCCCTACTTTCCATGGAAGAAAAACAAGAGGATCACTGTGTTCTGTGAAAAGCATTAGCCTGTGGAATTCAGGCAGTGGTGTGGTAGTGAAGGAAGAGCTGGAAATGTTAGACCCCAGTTTTGCTCCTGTAAGGTTTCAGGTACTAATGAGAACTGGACAGTACTTGACTCCCTTCCAGATTTGCCCATCTGTCCCTCCAGCTCCCCTTTTACAGTAAATATTCTTGTCCCTGACTTGCCGGGACATATTAACTACCCCTTTCTGAGGGGGGTAATAATCGACTTATTTAGAAACAGCTTCGATCTCCATGTGGAATAAGCACTACCCTGTCTGTTCTTTGGAAAGCCAGCATAATAGTGGGGGTGCTTTCCCGGTCTCTCTCTTTGCTACTGTGATTGCTCTTTTAACTCTGTAAAGTAGAAAACTATAAGGTCATTCATTTAATGTTGAATGCATGATATACATTTTTCTTGGCAGGTTTGTTAAGAAGTTGGAGCACTCTTGGAAAGCTCTGGTACATGATGGGGTGAGTAGCAGTCAGCTAGAGGCTCTCCTCTTTCTGCCTCTCTCACTTCTGATTTGCCCCCTCAGTTTCCTCTTACCTTATTTCATTTGTGGGTTCTACCCTTCTGCTAGGCTCTCATCCTAGGGAAAAATGGCCCTTGGACCAGAGATCCTTTTGCTGGGCCTCCTCCTCTCTAACTCTGCAGCCATCTCTTTTGCTCTGCAGGACACCGTATCAGTGCATCGCCCAAGCTTCTACGCCGAACGGTTCCAGCGCTTCATGTGCACTACAGTGTTCAAGAAGATCCTCTGTAAGTGGCTTCTGCCAGATGACCCTCCAATGGCTCCCTTACTTCAAGAGATGGGGGGCAGGACACCTCTGTCAGGGAACTGCCAAAGCCAGAGGCTTCTACTCTTCCCACATCCCGTGAGAGCTGCTGCCCATCCTTATGTCAGTCACTTTGTCTGTCTCAGTTGTTTCCAAGTTGCTGCTTTCCCGCTGGCAATCCCTACATGTGTCATTGAGGGGAGGGGCATTTCTGAGAAATTGGTGGGGTTGTAAAAATGTTTAGTTGTGGGTGTAGGACCCATGCCACAGGCTGAGATAGGTGAAGCTGGACTTTTATGGACAGAGATAGGCAAGAATATTACCATATCCCCAAGGCCAGGAAGTTCTTAGATTAGGATCATAAGGTTGGAGAAGCACTTACTCATTTCTGCTTAGCAGGTGTTCTTAGTCTCTTACCTCAACTTTCTTGGTTGGGAAGTGCCAATGTTCTTCTTTCCAAACCTTTCACACTGCTGCCACTGGCAGATTCCAGCTCCTCCTTCCCATCTCTGTCTCCTCATCATAGGCATCAGTTGTCCCTCGGTGAGGCAGAGCGGACTTAGGCATGCCAAACAGTCTTAAGAAAAATGGAAAAATCCTTTCAAAGTCTTTTCAAAGTGATATATAAACAAGTGTAAAGTATCACCATCGTGCTGTGTGTGTAAGTGCTACAGGGATATAGAGTGAAAGGTTCATCTTTGTCTGGTTTAACTGAAGGATACTATTAAAGAACAAAGGAATTACAGAATAAGAGACATGTCATCAGGCGGAAGCAAAGCCATTGAGGTTGCTTGTAGGAGGGGAGAGATATGTGTCTCCTTTCCTCTAGGTTCTCTGCTTCTTTTCCAAAGTGAAGTGGACTGAGATGCCCCCTCCTCTGAAGAGTAGTTCATAGAGCCCATCTTTGTTGACATTAACCCCTTTTCCTGCTTTGCAGAGGAACAACTTTGGGTTTGTGTTGGGGATGCTAGCAAGTTGTATCTATGTCTTGGTGACGGTTTCTGAGGTGGGTGCTAAGTAGGCTCTCTCTTTCCCTTTTGAAGTGAAGCCCTCTCCTTCCAAAAAGTTTCGGTCTGGCTCATCTTTCTCTCGGCGAGCAGGCCCCAGCGGCAACTCCTGCGTAACTTACCAGCCATCGGTCTCTGGGGAACACAAGGCACAAGTGACAACAAAGGCGGAAGTGGAGCCAGGTCAGCGCCAGGGTTGGGGTCCCCGTGTGATGGGGCACTCCCTCCCTTCCTTCTGAGTCCTTGTCTGCTTAGGACCTCTACTCCCCATTCCTGTCCATGAAAATCCAAGTTGCTACATATTTTTTCCTATATTTTCCCCACCCCCTTTTCTCTTCTTTTTTATTTATTGATTTTCTTCCCCTTTCTTTTTTCCAGGCGTCCACTTCGGTCGTCCTGATGTTTTACCTCAGACTCCACCTTTAGAGAAAATCAGTGAGGTCTCGACTATTCCTGACCCCTATTTCTCACCTGTAGTTGGAGAGACTTTGCAAATGCTAACTACAAGGTTGGTTCCTTGGCCCCTTTCTCCATGTAATCTTCTCATCTCTCTCTTCAGGTCCTTGAGAACCTCCATAATTCTGTTTTTTCCAGAGACTATTGTTTGTCTTTTGCTCTTCACTAGATTTTTGCATGTTCATCTTCCTAAGAGCTCATCTTTAGTGATTTGGAAAAGTGTATCAACATCTCTGCATTTTTAGGGGGTGGTGGGAAGTCTTTATGTACAGACTTTTCTGGTATTCAATCAAAATACCCCAACTAATGCTTCATCTCCCGGTGAGTTAAGTGAGAATTCTTAGCTTAGGATTTAAGGCTGGAAAGATTCCCAGGCACTGAAGACAGTGAACAGTTAACCTTTCAAAAGGATCCAGTGTAAAGATTGTGATTTAATTTTGTTTTTGGTGTGTTAATCATCTTATTACATCATAATATATTACCCCAGAACTTAGTGACTTAAAATAACAAGCATATATCATAGTTTTTGTGAGTTAGAAATCTGGGTGCAGCTTAACTGGGTCCTCTAGCTCAAGGTCTTTCATGATAGCGAAGCTCTTTGTCCAGGGCTAGGCTCATCTGAAGGCTCAACCGAGAGGCTTCACTTCTAAGCTCATTTATGTGGTTTTTGACAGGATTCAGTTTCTGGTGAGTTGCTGGACTGAGGGTCTTAGTTTCTTGCTGGCTGTTTTCTGCAGGCCTCCCTCAGTTCTTTGCCACATGAGCCCCTCCATGGGATAACTAAGAACATGGCAGCTCGCTTCCCTTAGCATGAGCAAGTGACAGTGCATGCACCTAAGCAGAAGCCACAGTCTTTCATAACCAAATCTCCTATTCTGCATTCTAGTCACTTAATCTAGCCCACACTTGAGGAATGAATTACCTAAGAGTGTATCAGGAAGCAGCGATCACTGTGGACTGAAACTAAAGAGACAGGCTATCTTCTCCCCACACACCCAGCATACAATGATGAGACAAACAATAGATAATCTCTTCACACACTCCTGTATAAAAAAGGGAGAACGGGAGGCACAGAGGAGTCTGATCCATAGCTAGTCTAAACCCCAGCAAATGTTGGAGTTTCTTTTATCAGGTCTCAAAGCATGAGAATAATTCGTGGCTCTTGGCTCTACCTTTTGGACTCTTGGTTTTGCCTTCTGAGTCTTCCTTTTTCATGAAAACTACAATGTGTTTGAAGCTGAGTAATTTTCTCAGCCTGCTTCTTGCCAGAATTTTGGGGATCCAGTGGTCTCTTTTCATTGTGTACTATTTCTGTCCCTTTCAGTCCAAGCAGGACAGTGTTTCTGCTGCTATAATACCCTCAAAGATTTTGTGGGCCTCCTATGAATCTCATTCGGATTCACGCTATTAGACAGAAGCCACAAATACCTTCTTGATAAGCTCTATGCTTCTTAGAGATCCTGTTGAGAGGATCTGAGAGACATACCCTTAATCTTTTGAATCACCTTTTGTATGACTGAATAGTACTTTGAGTTCTTAACAGATGTTTTACAGTCATACCCTTCATCTGTAGACCACATTTTCCTGGCAGTGCCTTAGATTTTATCCATTTCTTAATTTTAGCATTATTTGCTATCTGGAGAGGCTCAGAATTTTCAAAACCATCAAGTCTTGGCTTCCTTTTGTTTAATAGTCCTCCCCTGAACTTACTTTTCTTCTCTCATATTTTAACTATAAGCGTTAAGAAGAAACCAGGTGGCACCTTCAGCACTTGGTTTATAAATCTCCTTAGCCAGATCACCCAGTTCATGAGGCACGTATTCTACTTTTCACACAGCTGTAGATGACATTGTTGCTAAACTTTGTTCCACTACACTGCAAAGATCCCCTTTCCTTCAATTTTTAATAAGATTTTTTTTCACTTTAAGCCCTTACTGGCAATCCCCTTAAAGTCCAGAATTCTACAGTATATTCAGGGCACTTTTAAACTTTCACTAAAACTGTCCTCAAACCCAGTTCCCTCTTCCAGAGCCACTTCCACATTTTAGATTTTTATTACAGCAGTACTTCACTTCCAGGTACAAAAATATATATTATCTATTGTGTAACAAATTACCCCAAATTTTAGCAGCTAAAAACAACAAACATTATTATCTCAGATTTAATGTAGCTTAAGAATCTGGGTGTAGCTTAGCTGGGTGCCTTTGGCTTAAAGTCTCTCAGGAGGTTACAGTGAAGCTAGTAGCCAGCAGTGTGGTCTCATCTGAAGGCTCGCCCAGGGGAGGATCAGCTTCCAAGCTTATCTGTGTGGTTGTTGGCAGGATTCAGTTTCTTGTAGGCTATTGGGCTAAGGGCTCAGTTCTTTGTTGGCTCTTGGCCAGTTCCCTCAGTTCCTTGTCACATGGTCCTTTCCATAAGGCAGCTCACTGCATGGCAGCTAGCTTCCTCAGAGCAAACAAGTGAGAGAGCAGGTACCCAAGAGGAAGCTATAGTCTTTTTGTAGCCTAATCTCAGAATTGACTTTACATCTTCTGTGGTGCATTCTGTTCACTAGAAGAAAGTCACTAAGTTCAGCCCACACTCAAGAGGAGAAAATTACACAATGGCATGACTATCAGACGGCAGTGTTCATTGGGTGTCTACCACACCTGGGGATTGAAGAAGGTAGAGGAGGGTGTTAGGAAATATTTTATAGAAGTCAAGACAAAAAAGTAAATAGTTAATTAAAACAATGTGCTTCCAAATCTTGTAGCTTCTTAGCCCCTTCTTTTTGAATCCTAAATTGATTCCCAGTGAAATAGAGAAGCAGTGTGAGATTTGACCAGAGAGTCCCTTTTCTCATTTATTTACTAATTCTTCTTTCTGCCTCCATTTTTTCTCCCCTCCTGTTAGCTCAACCCTCTTGGAAAAGCATGAAGTTCCAGAGTCAGAGTTCATCCATGTAAGTGTCTGGGATGTGGGGGAGGTGGATGCTTTGGAAGGGTATAAAGAGCATCACTGATGGAGTGGAGCAGCAACGTAATTGGCAGGGTTAGGGGGACTGGGTGCCCCCCTAAATCTTACTTAAAAAAATTTTTTTTTCTGATACCTTGTACTTGGAAGCTGAGACTGAACTAGCAGGAAACTTGAATTCCTTTCCTGCCTCATCTCATACTGCACATCCTTAACTTTAAACCCTTTCCCTTTTCAGTGAACAAAAATCCTCGGAAGACCTGGAGCAAGATTCTACCATCTCTGTGATCCCAAGATGTCAGCCCTTGACCCAGCAATGCTGAGTTTTCTTTTTCTTGGTCATCAAAAAAAGTGTAATGGAGGCTAAGGGAGCTCTCCGTCTCCTCCCTGAAGAAGAACCTCTTCTACTTCCCCTTCCTCATGAATGGGCATTAGTGCCTCGGACAGTTGAGGACAGCAGCATCCTCTCTACTCCTGAGCTTGGTGGCACAGGTTTTCTACTAGCCAGCCTTGCTTCCACAACTGAATTGTTTTCAAACCCCCATTCCTCCTGTTGGAAGTGGGGTTGCTGGACTTGGTGGTTTTCTTCCCCCTCATCTACCTTTCACCAGGAGCTGGACTCTTAATTTCCTCAGGACAGACTGGCTGGTACATTATCCCAACCTTAGCTCTTTTTCTGTGGAAGAAGACCTCTGTACTGTTTTTTTTTTTTTTTTTTTTTTTTTTTTTTGCAGTACACAGACCTCTCACTGTTGTGGCCTCTCCTGTTGCAGAGTACAGGCTCCGAACGCGCAGGCTCAGCGGCCATGGCTTACGGGCCCAGCTGCTCCGCGGCATGCGGGATCCTCCTGGAGCGGGGCACAAACCTGCGTCCCCCGCATCAGCAGGCGGACTCCCAACCACTGCGCCACCAGGGAAGCCTGTTCCCCCCTGTAATCTTTGTAAAGGTTTTTTTGGGGGTAAGGGTGTTTAACCACCTCCCAGCCTTCTTCTTTTGGTTCCTTAAAAAAGGAAAAGAAAAATAGCACACAATTTCAAGCCAGACAGTTTCAGATCAAAACTCCATAAGTATTGGAGAGATGCATATTCATAGGGTTCCCTCAGAAGAGCCCTGGTGTTTGAGAAACAGAAGCTGCTCTGCCAGGAGCAGCTCCTCTTTAACTCCTCCTCTCTTAATGAATTTCTGAAAGCTGAAGGAATGGAGAGAGTGGGACATGGGGTAATCTTTACCCCTTTTGTTAAACAGTGGGGCAGTCATAGGACTAAAAGGTCAGAACCCTTCCTAGGCAGGACCCTACTCACGGCCAGGCCATAATGATTATTACTGTTTTGCAATTTGAAATGTATTTTGCTTGTTTTTCTAAATATGAAGACTTATCAAATGAATTTTAGATTCTTCTCCAAAGGAGATTTCTTCCTTGCTCTTACCACCTTTTCCAACAGCGTTCTGCTGTTCGTGGAGCTGAGATGGAGAAGGGGACACCTGTGTCTGTTTAACAGGTAGTCCATAACTGTGAGGCTAGAGAATATTCTCTTAAACTCATGGAGAGCCAGCAGATTCTTGCCTTAGTGAGGTCATTGCTGTGCCACATGCCCTGCCACCTCTCTTCATGCAGAGAACGTGGAAACGGGCTGTGTAATCCCTCTCCTCCCCATGTTCTCCATCTGATCCTCGTCCCCCTGTCAGGGGAAGAAGGGGGCCTGGCATCTCAGGCAGATTGTTGAATCCCCATCCTGTCCCCTCTCCATCCCACCCTGCCTTGATAGTAGGTTAGCTCATACCCCAAGTAACTGTCTATATTAGACACCCCCAGCCAGTTTCTGGCTGCCTGTCTTTGCTGCCATGTTCTTTTTTACAAGAAGAAACAATTCTTGCTATTTTTTTTTCATAATTTACTATTTATGATGTATTTAAGTGTTTTATTCAGGACGGAGTTCTGTAGGGGGTGGGAGGGAATATTTGAGGGAGGCTGGGTCTTAGGGAACGGAATGGGGAATCAACATTTTTATGAAGTGTCACTATTTGCCTCTACTTTGTATTGTTCAGAAATGGCAAATACAGTATAAAAGTGATAAATACCTGGTTTTAATGTATTAAACTTTCATCAGTTATTTAGACTTCTTGCTTCTTCCTGGTTCTTTTTCATATACCATCTGCTCCACCCTCCTACCTCAGGCTCAGTTTTGTTCATATTACCCTGAACAAATGCATCCTTTCCAGTTTTCCTCACTCCAGTTTCAGTCTAACTCAGGCTGAGAGAAATGGCTTCATTCATTACCTTCTGGTCACCTCCTCCCTCTTAACAACTTAAACTTGACAAGGAAAAGCTGTGAATGAATAGGAAGGGAATTAATGTGGGTCTGTTGCCTAGGGATTTGGGGACCCATAGCTCAAAATTCTACTCAGGTTTAGGAGGAAAGGAGAGGGACAGTGGGAAAAGCAAGCTTGAGATTGGTTGTCCCTAGGATTCTCTGCCTTTCCTTCCCTTGACCTGGCCCCAGGGTGTCTGTCACTTCTAGAAAAGCATAGAGACTGCTTTCCTCAGCTATGTGTTTTTCTCTTCTGTGAGGTTGAGCTTAGGCTATTTTACTGGAATGGGAAACTAGACAAAAAGGGATGTTCTAAGGCGGTGGGGGAGATTTGGAGAGAAACAAACTAAAAAATATTCCTTTCCACACCACTGTTCCCTACCTTGGTAAGGTCATTCTACAAATATTTATGCAGCAGCTAATGAGCAAGAGCCATGAATGCACTGGACAGTTGAAGGTCAAAAGAAGTAATTGACCTTCAAGGGTTTATAGTGTCCAGGAGGAGCACACACATACATGCACACAAAAACAACATGTTAGATGTGATACAGTTAAGGATTTCAGTTCTCTGAAAGAGTGATACAGCATATAAAGGTCGAAGAAGATGAGAGGTTATTGTGGGCCTGAAGTGTTGGGGAAAGTTTCACTTGAGTACAAGGGCCTAGAGGTATGAGAATGATCTGTTTTAGAGAACAAGGAAGAGATCATGGTGAAAGCAATGGTGGAGGGAGACCTGAGTGAGAATATTGGAATAAGTATAAGTGGAGGCAACACTGGAAACCCTGACTGATAAAAGCTGAGGGATTTTTATTTTAAACTGTAGGCAATGGAGAAGCATAGAACGTTTTTGTCCCTAAGTGGGACATGATCAAAACAAAATTCCGAAACTAATCTGTTGACAAAGTTCTATCACAGTGGGTAGAAAAAGCAGACAGTTTAGATTGTAATAATTTAGGTGTGAGGTGATGTGCGTCTAGGATGATGGTGGTATCAACTGGAGAGGAAGGGAGAGAATTGTGATGGTAATAAAAAGGAAAACAACTTTATGATAGAACAAGTAATTGGAATAAAGGAATTGGGTATTCTCAAAGTTTTGAATTTGAGTTTAAGCCACAGGCTCAGCCCTCCTTTAGGCTGGGTAAGGAGAAGACTTCTTCCCAAAAAGGAATTGAATCTGAACATGTGGTAGGGAAAAAATGATCTTTCTGCTACCCTTACCTCATCACTCTTTTTTAAAAAAACAAAACAAAACATGTTTATTGGAGTATAATTGCTTTACAATGGTGTGTTAGTTTCTGCTTTATAACAAAGTGAATCAGCTATACATATACATATATCCCCATATCTCTTTCTTCTTGCATTTCCCTCCCTCCCACCCTCCCTATCCCATCCCTCTACGTGGTCACAAAGCACCGAGCTGATCTCCCTGTGCTATGCGGCTGCTTCCCACTAGCTATCGATTTTACGTTTGGTAGTGTGTATATGTCCATGCCACTCTCTCACTTTGTCCCAGTTTACCCTGCCCCCTCCCACTGTCCTCAGGTCCATTTAGTAAGTCTGCATCTTTATTCCTGTCCTGCCCCTAGGTTCTTCATAACCATTTTTTTTTTTAGATTCCATATATATGTGTTAGCATACGGTATTTGTTTTTCTCTTTCTGACTTACTTCACTCTGTATGACAGACTCTAGTTCCATCCATCTCACTACAAATAACTCAATTTTGTTTCTTTTTATGGCTGAGTAATATTCCATTGTGTATATGTGCCACATCTTTATCCATTCATCTGTCGATGGACACTTAGGTTGCTTCCATGTCCTGGCTATTGTCAATAGAGCCGCAATGAACATTGTGGTACATGACTCTTTTTGAATTATGGCTTTCTTAGTAGTGGGATTGCTGGGTCGTATGGTAGTTCTATTTTTAGATTTTTAAGGAACCTCCATACTGTTCTTCATAGTGGCTGTATCAATTTACATTCCCACCAACTGTGCAAGAGGGTTCCCTTTTCTCCACACCCTCTCCAGCATTTATTGTTTGTAGGTTTTTTAATGATGGCCATTCTGACTGGTGTGAGGTGATACCTAATTGTAGTTTTGATTTGCATTTCTCTAATGATTAGTGATGTTGAGCATCCTTTCATGTGTTTGTTGGCAATATAGATATCTTCTTTGGAGAAATGTCTATTTAGGTCTTCTGCCCATTTTTGGATTGGGTTGTTTGTTTTTTTTATATTGAGCTGCATGAGCTGTTTATATATTTTGGAGATTAATCCTTTGTCTGTTGCTTCATTTGCAAATATTTTGTCCCATTCTGAGGGTTGTCTTTTCATCTTGTTTATGTTTTCCCTTGCTGTGCAAAAACTGACCCTGAATAGCCAAAGCAATCTTGAGAAAGAAAAACGGAGCTGGAGGAATCAGGCTCCCTGACTTCAGACTATACTACAAAGCTACAGTAATTAAGACAGTATGGTACTGGCACAAAAACAGAAATATAGATCAATGGAACAGGATAGAAAGCCCAGAGATAAACCCACGCACATATGGTCACCTTGTTTTTGATAAAGGAGGCAAGAATATACAATGGAGAAAAGACAGCCTCTTTAGTAGGTGGTGCTGGGAAAACTGGACAGCTACATGTAAAAGAATGAAATTAGAACACTCCCTAACACCATACACAAAAGTAAACTCAAAATGGATTAAAGACCTAAATGTAAGGCCAGACACTATAAAACTCTTAGAGGAAAACATAGGCAGAACACTCTATGACATAAATCACAGCAAGATCCTTTTGACCCACCTCCTAGAGAAATGGAAATAAAAACAAAAATAAACCCATGGGACGTAATGAAACTTAAAAGCTTTTGCATACCTCGTCACTCTTCAACATACTCAGGCAGCTGCTGAGTGGGTGCACTGGATGGTCAGAGGGTCCCTCTAGTGGTGGGTAGCAGCTACTACTTATTCTGTAGCTGTACCCTACCATCTGTATTCAGATGCAAGTAGGGCCTGTTGCAAAAATGAGGGAAATCAAAACCATAGGATTATAAAGCTGGAAATCCTGGTCTAATGTTTTACTCTTAAGCATGTCAGTCTCAGCTATTCTGAAAGTTATTTACCGCAGTTGGAGTCTCATTCACTCTTTAAACAAAGATTAGCCAGTTAAAAATAGATTTCTGATTATCCTCTTCATTCTTGGGAATTCCCTGGTGGTCCAAGTTTAAGACTCTGTGCTTGCACTGCAGGGGGCCCGAGTTTGATCCCTGGTTGGGGAACTAAGATATCGCAAGCTGCATGGCACAGCCAAAATAAATAAATAAATAAAGGGGCATCTTGTTTTTTTTTTTTTAAAAAAAACAAGCTGTTCATTCTTTATTTTTTCAAAGACACAAAAACAGTTCAATGTCATTTCCTGTAAAATTATTTCTTAAAAGTTCATTAAAAAGCATGAGTTATTTCTAATTTCTCCTTTTTTTTACAAAAAATTTTATTATGGAAATTTCCAAACCAAAAGTAGAGTATAGGAAACTGACATGTATGCATCACCCAGCTTCAATAATTGTCAACACAAATAAGGCCAATCTGTTTTATGTATACTTTCTACCCCACCCCTCCTTTCTCTCTGCACTTCCAAAGGATTAAGTTAAATCCCAGACATCATATCTGTTCATGCATAAATACCTAAATATATAACTCAAGAGATAAGGGCTCTTTTTAAACATAACATTATCATGCCTTCAAAAATTGATAATTCCTTAATAGTACCCAGGCAGTGGTCAATGTTAGCCAATTGTCTTACAAATGAATTTTTTTTTGGCTGCGCTGTGTGGCTTGTGGGATTTTAGTTCCCTGACCAGGGATCGAACCTGTGCCCTCGGCAGTGAAAGTGCGGAGTCCTAACCACTGGACCACCAGGGAAGTCCCGAAGTGAATTTTTACAGATAGTTTTTTTTGACCCCAATCTCTCTTGTACTTACTCCAAGTTTTTACCCTGACCACCCAACTGAAACATCTTTTATTAAGGTCGCTGATGACCTCAGTGTTGCTAATTATATCAGTCCTCATCTTACTTGACATGTCAGCAGCATCTGACAGTTTATTGCTCTTTGAAATATTTTCTTCATTTAGCTTCTGGGATACTATGTGTTTTCCCCTGGTTGTCCTTACCAAGGTGCTGCACTGCTCCATCTCCATCCTCTTTTCTGATTCCTCCTTTCCTCTCTAACCTCTAAGTGTTGAAATGTCCAGGGCTCAACCATAGGCCCCCTTCTTTTAGTCTACATTCACTCCCTAAGTAATGTTTTAAAGTTTTAAAGGCCCTGTATAATTTGTTAAACACCCCTGTCACCTCATGATTAGCTAAAAACTTCCAAATTTCTATCTCCAGCCCAGATCGTTTTTCTGAACTGCAAACTCATATATCTACCCACTTACTTGACATATCCATTTAGGTGTCTGATAGGCATCTTACATCTAACGTGTCCAAAGCTAAATTTCTGGTTCCTGCCCCTCCTAGCCCATCTTCAGAAATAGTGCCTCCATTCTTGTAGTTGCTTAGAATCAACTCTAGTGTTCTTAACACTCCCGTTTCTTACATCCTCCAACAAATCAACTGGCAAATTTTCTAAGTTTTGTATCATATGACATACTCAAAATCCATCCATATGTCACTATTTTCATGTCTTGTTACCACCCTACAATAAGCCACCAGCATACCTGATCACTGAAGTAGTCTGCTAACTGGTCTATATCCTGTTCTTTTCCCCCCACAGTCTGTTCTCAATAAAGCAGCCAGAGTGATCCTCTTCTGAAAATTTCCAACAGCTCCTATCTCCTTAAAATAATCTTTGCGACTGTACGTGATTCAACCTTTCCACTCCCTTTGCCTCTCTGGCCTCATTTCTTCTCTCTCTCTCCCTCTACTCCAGCCTTCATGGTCTTAAGTACACTCTTGCCTCAGGGCATTTGCACTTTCTCTGTCCCCCAGGTATCCTTCAGGTCTCTTTTCAACTGTAAGTCTTCCCTAATATTCTGTTTATATAAAAAAGAAAACACATCCATCCTACTTTTATCATTTGACAATATATTTACTTATTGGTTTATTATCTGCCTTCCCCATAGAATACAAGCTCCACAAGGGCAGACTTTATTATGTTCCCTTCCAAGTTCTCTACATTGTGTAGCTCCTTTTCAAAAAAATGTAATTCTTGTCTTATTTTTAAAATATTTTGTTTATGTTTGAACATGTCACTAATTATTTTTCTGTGCTTTCTTCCCTTTGCTGTCTACTATCCTGTCTATGGTTACAGTGACAGGTTTTTGTTTTTGTTTTTTGTTTTTTCCCTAGCGATACAGAGATTTAACTCATACCAGCTGTGATGGTTACCAATCACTTTTGAACATATCCGTTAAAACTTTACCAACATTTAGGTAATATCTACAACACACTTGCCATCTCCATCTACTATCTACCATCTCTGTAGTCATGCCTTGGTCCCCCGCTCCCTTCCCCGCTTCCTTCAAGATAGAGACCTGGAATTTCCGGTTTTACTGTGTGTGTGTGTGTGTGTGTGTGTGTGTGTGTGTGTGTGTGTGTGTGTGTGTGGGGGGGG